TAGGAAACCCACCAATATTTTTGAGGATATTCTAGTGTCTTATGGAACTTGTGTTGTGGTATATTGTTAGTATTGTATCAGAGCACTTGTGCCCAAAGCTGCCCTCATAACATTTCTTCAGCTTACAAACTTACAAGACTATCGCCATTATAACTAGTTGGTGATTTGGCTTATGATAGTAACAATATCTCATAAAGCTCGATTATCAACGAATTAAAATGGCGAATATTCTACAGGGACATCAAACGAATATTTTTTGAAAAGAAGCAATATTAATTTTTGTTGAAAGATTGGCAAATATCAGATGATGTGATGAAAACCATCACTGGGATTTGTACGTCTCTTGACAGGAATCACAATCAACCTTCAACGTACTGTCGTTGTGCTTGTTGGCAATTATTTAGGCTTTTATGTGTTTTTCTTATTCATAAAGCTCAGGTAATTGCTTATAAGCATAATGTGCAAACATCAAATCAGAGAAGAAGATCCCACTGCGTCTTGCGACATTAGGCAGCTACAAGTACACATGAAAGATATTTGTCATGTATAGAAATAATGTTTTCAGGTTTCAGCTTCAGGATGATGCATTGTGACCAGTGGGTGATCAAGGAACTGGCGTTGCGATATATTGTTAGTATTGTATCACAGCTCTTGTGCCTTGAACTGCCCATTTAGCACTTCGTCGAAGATTCTTCAAGGAGCCATGATTTAGACTCTTACGTTATGATTACTCTTTGGTAACTTGGTTTATGATCGTTATATGAAATTTCATAAAGCTAGGTTATCAGAGAATAATAATAACGAAAAGGCAACAGGGAATTTTAAGATTTATCGACATAACAAACATCACAATCAACCTTTTAAAAGCCGGCGTTCTGCTTGTTGGCAATTATTTGGGCTTCTATTTTTTTTGTTATGCATAAAGCTTGGGTAATTGCTTTACAAGCTTAATGCACATTGGCTTGATAATTTTTGTTTTAAGTCTATAAACCTAGCAGTCCCAAGGTGGAAAAAAACTTCGGAAACTATAATATAATAATTAGGTGCTAATTAGGGCCTCTAATTAAAAATTAGGTGCTCCTTTAGTTTCTGAGAAAATCAAAAAAAACTAAGGGGCTGCTAGGTTTATAAAAGCTAGCAGTCCCCCAGGGCCGATCCTAGGGTGTCGGCCGCCCGCGTGCAAAGCGCAATTTCGCCGCCTTATAGGGATAGCCCTCCGTACATAGGAGGCGTCAGTGAAAATTTTTTTGGGTGCCAAGCCCAAAAGCGTTCATTTCGAGCCTCAAAATTAACGTTTTTGGGTATTTCGAGTTAAAAAAAAAAACTTGTTAGGAACATATGTGTTTTCTATGAGTTGTTTGAATGCGGGTGAGTGGTGATCAATAATGACTAATGACAAATACTATCCTAAAACTAAGTAGGGCCTGGGTTAAGGCCTGGGTACGAAAGTAAAAAATAAGGCCGCCGCCGGAGGCAGAAATTTTTGTTTGGTTGCCACGCCCAAAAGCGTTTATTTCGAGCCTAACAGTTAATAATTAATAAATTCTATTTTTTCTTTGACTATTCAAGAGCACCTAAAAAGCACCTAATTCTTATACAAAAGAAAATTTTGGAAAAATATTTTTCACTATCGGGGACTACTAGCTTTCATAAATTTGAAAACATATTTTTTACTATAGGGGACTGCTAACTTTTATAAACCTAGCAGTCCCTTAGTTTTTTTTGATTTTTTCAGAAACTAAAGGAGCACCTAATTTTTAATTAGAGGCCCTAATTAGCACCTAAAAAGCACCTAATTATTATATAGTTCCCGAAGTTTTTTTCCACCTTGGGACTGCTAGGTTTATAGCTTTTTGTTTCCTATACTAAGTTCTGAACACACTAATTAATGAAGAATATTATAATAATATTGAGAAGATACCACTGCATCACAGCAAAGACAAAAGGATATTTTAGGAAGGAACCGAAACATTTACAAAGATTAAATCGTCATTATGACTCTTCGGTGATCTGGCTTATGATATGATACGATATCTCATAAAGCTCGATTTCCAATGAATTAAGATGGCGATGCCTCGACAGGAGATTTAGACTTGCATACTAATCACTACTGACACTTTTTTGAATTATAAATTAAATTGAAATAAATTTTTTCTATCTCGAAAAAAAAATATCGTTTAATTATTGAATTTTGTAATTTGCAGTGTCTGTATTCAAATGCCATAACTTGATCCTAATTCTCAAAAAGTTCTGTTGGAGTTCCCCTAGTTATAATTTAAATTTGAAGTAGATATTTGGAGTTCTGGACCTTTAGTATTTTTTTTTTCAAATCTCTTAAATTAAATTTCAAGTAGTCCGCATAAGATTGACTTGTCTATGACAATCACTCCTGTTATAAATTCGTTAATTCCCCAACCAAAATAATATTGGCTATACTTATTCCAAAATAATAAATTATTTTATGAAACCCCTTTTTAAAACCTCAAATGAACTGGTTAGAACGGGCAACCCATAAAAAAAACTCTACGACACACTGCACAAATATGTTAATATCTTTGTTAAAGTAAACAAGTCTCAAGGTTTTTACAAATAGGCAGTCGCAAAAGTCCAGCAGGATCGCTCTGTCCAATGTTAGAGTAGAGATTGTGTAGTAGTAAAGGTAGAGAGAGAAATTGAATATTGAATTCAGTAGTTCAGTAATTCAATAGATTTTTATTGGAATGAGTCAACACTGGGATTTCAAGTGGCCGATTTTATTTTGATTGTTGTTTTATCTTTTATGGAATTTTTTGGGTGAGTACAGAATATTTTACACTTGATTCATTCTCATTTATTTTATGTTTTCTATTTTTCCCAATTTATAAAGTTTGGGATAACATTTGCATTTATGAGTAATAAGTACTTGTAAGTTTTTGTTATTCGAATTTCTATAACAATCGATTTGTTTTTAATTTTCATTCGGATAAAGTGAGGATTATTCATTTAATAACAATTTTTTTTAATGTGCCTATAGTGTCAATGCAATGCATTTCTATTTCCCAAATCAAGGTTTTGGTTCTTATTAGAATAACAGGAATATTCACCATCAAGAATCAGGGTCGGCGAAAATTTCTATTGAGTTTTTGGGTTTTTGCAGGTTATTATGCCGGAAAGTCAACAGGGAATTGATTGATACTGGAATGTACTAGTCTCTTGGAACTCTCTTGTAGGAAATTATCTGGGCCTCTATGTATTTTCTTATTCATGAGGATTAGATAATTTCTTATAAGCATAGTTAACCCAAATGTACTAAATATATATTTTGAAAGGAAACAAACGTTTGTAGATATCCTCAATTTAATTTTTTTATTTATCTTCATCAATTCTTATGGCAATTAAAGGTACCCAGAAGTTGCGTGATGTTTTCAGCTCTATCACAGCTTTGTGGTGCCTTCAATTGACATATTAATGTGAGCTTCGGGAACCATCAAGGATCTTAAAGTAGGCCACTGTTGGCAAGATATATTGTTTCATGTATCACACCCCCAGTTGCCCTAAACTGCCTACATGTCAGTTCAACAAGAATATTTTAGAGGACTTTCTCAAGATAATATCGTCATAATTACTCTTTGGCGATCTAACTTATGATTGTTATGATATTTCATAAGTTAGTAAGCCAAAGAATAAAAATGATGAAGAATCAACACAGAATTTGGATATTAAACAAACAATAATTCAGAAGAAGCATATTTATTTTTTCAGGAGATTGATAAATACTAGTTGATGTTGATTGGAAAACTAGAGCGAATTATTTCATTGGTTGAAAACAGTCAGAAATAGTCAGAAAACTAGTTTCAACCATTGAAATTCATTCTGACTGGTTTGTGATTTCTGTGCGAACAGGCCTATAATATTGAATGCTAATAACTTGTAATCATCAGATGAATTTTTCAGTAATCGTTTCCAAATACAATTTGTGGACTCATTGGTTGCAGGCAGGAACAATACAAAAACTGGTGAGCTTTTATAGATTATTTTGATTAATAAATAGTTTATTAGTTTTTAGGTAGAAGAGATGGTAAACAAATGCAAAATTCTTCCTGCCTGGTAACACCGACAGACCTCAATGCTGACGTCAGGGGATCTACAGAGCTACTGAAGAATTCAAGGTGAAAATTATTTATTTCAATTTGTAATTTCAGTGCTCAGGTTAGACCTATTTTGGACTTGGAGTCAAGTTTAAACTTAAATTGATTATTATTAAATGTATCTTTATGGAGATTTTTCTCATTATACATTTTGCATGTGATATGACGGGATGTTGAATTGTGATAGTGGGTAATTAAGTAACTTCAGTAATGATATATTGTTAGTATTATATCAGCTCTTGCGCCTTAACATCCCATGTAACGGAAATCTTCGAACAACAATTATTAACAGAAAAATGTCGTTATTATTACAATTTGGTGACATATCGTTGCTTATATGATGGATAAATCCCATAAAGCTAGATTATCAGAGAATAAAAATAAAGAAAATTTGGATATTGCATACATCTATTGACTGAGCAATAAATTTTGTTAGGAAAACAGCAGAAACCAGATGATGTTGTTTGAAAATCCGTCACTAGGACTTGCTGCTCTCTTAATATGAATCACAATCAACATTTCAAATTTTTCTTGTTTCAAGCGAAAATTAATTTTTGTTTTTATATACTATTATATGAAACATTATTTTATATTCCTGCAAGTTCCCTGTTGCCTCATCACCTAAAAGAGCCTTATTTTTGCCCTATAAGCTATAGCCTATCTTTATTAAATGTCTGCCCCTATAGTAGAATATTATAACTGAAGTTTGGATACAAATATTATGTAGATTCCTCTAGCAGTTGGCAAGTACATAGATAGTTTCAACGCAGCTAAAATAAATTCGCAGCTTACACAGTTTTAGATGCTTAACAAGGCCTCTAACTGCACTTGCGAATATGTCAATAAACAAATAAAACAGGCTCTAAAACTTACCTTATTGCTCAAACAACTCAAGAAATCTTTCTTCATATCAACTACGGATACTCTATCGTTTGGTCTTTTAGGTCCACTAACAGATGACACCACAGTTGCAAGATCCAAACTCTCGGTTTGAGTGAAAATCGGCTCTTCTTGTTCAGAAGCGTAATTACGGAGTTGCTTGGTGGTTCTGAGATAAGCTTCGATAAGTTTAACTTGCTCTTCTGATCGACCTGTTTGTCTCAAATAAGCCAAAGCGTTTTCGTCTACAGGAAAATAGCCCACAGTAGCGCCATATTCTGGACACATGTTGGAAATAGTAGCTCTGTCTGCGATCGATAAAGCTGCCACGCCTGGTCCATAGAATTCGACAAACTTTCCTACTACTCCAAGTTGCCTCAAGTTCTAATAAAATAAAACATTATTTAGTTCAGTTTATGAACAGACATACTCATTTTCATACTATTCACATTACTATGTAATTGATTATAATTGGTGATGCCTTACGAAATTAATTATGTAATATCTTTATGCTGTCGCAATATATTTATTCACCTCTTCCATAAACATATAACTTACCTTTGTAATTGTAAGTACTAAATCAGTGGAAGTAACATATTGGTTCAACTCTCCATGTAGCCGGTATCCGACGACTTGTGGCAACAACATGGAAATTGCTTGCCCAAGCATGACAGCTTCAGCTTCGATACCGCCCACACCCCAACCAACAACTCCAAGACCGTTTATCATGGTGGTGTGAGAGTCGGTTCCAACCACAGTGTCAGGATATAACATCGGCTTTTCTTTACCAGTAAATACCACTCTGGCAAGGTACTCTAAGTTGACTTGGTGCACGATACCACTTCCCGGAGGCACAATCAGCATGTTGTCGAACGCTTTAGCACCCCACTAAGTTAAAGAAAATGTTTAAGCAATCTGCACAAATATGAGTCACTCTACCTTCAAGAACATGAACCTCTCCTGATTCCTATGAAATTCCATGTCTTCATTCTTTTGCAAAGCATCGTCCCTAAATACAAAAGTAGAATAATTTAAATACTCATTTTAAAATATATTTTTTTACGTTCTAGTAAAATCCACTTGAATTGAATGGTCAATAACCAAATCCGCTGGACAAATGGGATTGATTTTTTCTGGATCGCCTCCCAAATCTTTGACAGCATCTCGCATAGCAGCAAAATCGACTACGGCTGGAACCCCAGTGAAATCCTATTGGAAAAAGTAAATTTTCCCAAAAACTATTCATACTAATATTTAGTAACATACTTACTTGTAAAATAACCCTAGCAGGTTTGAAAGGTATTTCCATGCCTCCTTCAACATTTTGTTGGCTTTCCCAATTCAGAATGTTTTGCACATCTTGCTCTTTTACTGAGAAATTATCACAATTTCTCACTGCAGATTCGAGAAGGACACGGATGGAATATGGTAAACGATCTAAAGAGTAAATTTAAGAGTAAATAGCATATTATAACATATTTACATTAATTTCAAGATGATACCTACTGTATTGATCTCCCAAGGAGGGTATATCAAAGTAATTATATTCCTTTCCGTCAACATTTAGACTCTTTAAGTACTTGTTATAAGGATTATTAGCACCTGAAACAAATGTTTATTATTAGATATTATGTTTTTTTATTTAAGTGTAAACATGTTCTATTGATAAAGATTGAGTAATATTCCTATCTTGGTTTCATGAAGCAAATAATATGTTTACTGTAGATAATATTAAGATAAAGTTTGGTTTGGTTAAAAGGCTTAGATTTTAATGCTGAAAAAATACAAATAGGCTCAGAGGTTTGTTAATGTCAAGGTTAATGAGCACTTGTGAAGAATCAGAAATAATGCATAATATACAATCTATCAAAAGGAGTCCATTTAATGAAGGCAACATTAAGTACAAACATGATAAATAACCTGTGCTAAATAATAAATACAAATGACATGAAACTCGGTACAACTGTTCTTTGAAAAGAACTGATTGAGGATTTTGGAATAGTACAAAGGGTGGTCAGATACTTGGCTTATTTAACTCTAATGATGTATGATGCATATGGAATGATATCTTGTGCAAGGATAAAGAATAGATAGGTTTATGATGTTGGAAAGCAAATCAATATAATAAAATTATTGACCAATTATCATACCTGTCAATAATCAGTTAATACTATTTTTAAAGCCTGTGTCCTCCCAGGCAAGTGTGTAAGATAGGTTGAGAAGTTGAAAATAAACACTAGTGGTAGTGATTTAATTTTGAATGTTAAGCAAATATTACAAAATTATTGTTCATTCATAATCCAATTCTAAAAGCTAAAGGCAAAGTTCCAAAATTTATTACAAATTCTTTTTTTAAGTGGTGTAGATAGTGAAAGCGTTATACCATGTATGCATGTAGAGGTGTGATAACCTCGATAAAGAACCTTCTTATAAAGATTCCTCCGAGGGTAAAACCACTAGTTGAAATTATTGTACATTTTTTTGGGAATCACATAGTAATCAATCAGGAATGCCATGGAAATCACCTGGGAGTCCCTGGGAATAACCTAAGAATCGCTAGGAATCTCTTAAGACTCCATGGGAATCACTTAGGAATCCATTGGCAATCGCTGGGAATATCATCTGATTCCAATCCAGAAATCGCATATCATACTCTTAAACGATACAGCGTAGGTACCGGTCACTTGTGTATATGTCTTTAAGACTAAGTTTTAGGCAACAGAGTGCTAGGCAATTTGGAATAAATTTGATATCCCAACGAGTTTCCCAATAACTGAACCCGAGACTACGAAGAGCTTAGAACTTGAAGAAGAAGAAGAACGAGATGAAGATGTATGACAATTTTGTGGATGAAAAAAATGAAAATATGAATCTTGAAACATCTCTCGAATCCAACTTGCCAGAAGAACACAGAATTTCTTCACACATCAGGGTTTAGCAACTGCGATTTGCTACAACTGAGAGATTATTCAGGACTCAACTTTAATTTGGTTCTTTTCAGAGAAGCAGGTACGTTTGTCGATCGAGTATTAAGAGCTATTGGAAGTTCCCTGAGGATGACACAGCAAGATCCATATTATGCAGTGTGGACACGCAATGGTATCTAGGGCTCAACAACTATTTATACCTACAACAAAATCGGTGTGGATGCGGACAACCATGAAAATAAGTAAACAACATATTATTACATATTGTCTTCATGAAATTCAAAAAAGATGTAGTAAACATGTAGGTAGTTTTTTTTTCTCTCAAGTGAGACAAAGTTGATCAGATAACTCACTAGTGTATGGTAGATATGACAGAAAATATCATGTGACAGAATAGTTTTTCAGTCGAGTTTGCCAAATCCCATATGGTTAAGGTTTGCAAGTTAAAAAAACTATTCTTTCGACATGCAGTCCTTTGTAGGTCAGTTCTCACAGAAATCACAAACCAGTCGGAGCGTTTTTGATTAGTGCAAATCGCCAACAACTACTCTTCTGTTTTCAATCAATGGAATTCGCTCTGCGTTGACAAGTTTATATTAGCAAATCCCACTCTCTGTTAAATTTCTCTTACTTATGACCAATAGAATTTTCAACTCCCTCGAGGGAATAAAATTTCCACAATTATCCATCGAAACATTTTAAGAATAGTGTCATTTCGCAGTTTTGGGAGCGACGCCTACTTTCTCTCATAATTTCTACTCCCTGGAACTCAAGAATAGGGGCATTGATAGGTTTGTGATTTCTGTGAGAACAAACCTTACAAGTATACTACAGGTACAGGGTGGGACAATTTGGACACTTTAATGGAAAACGTCAATTTCTAAGTGAGATACAAAAAAATAAACCCCCACTCTGAGGCTCAAATTTCATGAAATCTTCATTGGTGCAAACTGCAGTTAGATACCTTTTCTCGTTTTGACGCTAGGGGGCGTGTCTCGATTTTTATACCTAAAGCTGTCTTATCTACTACCTAATGCTATAACTTTTTTGTTTATGAAAATAATTCAGTTCTATGAAAACTTGTTGAAAGCACTTTTTCAAGCAGACTACCTTGTCGTTCCCAGTTTTTTCTATTGGATCGATTTTTTTTTTAATAGGACACCTTATGTATTAATTACTCATTGCATAGATGTCAATGATATAAACGAGGATATAAAGTTCGATAGGTTTATCTTTACCAGTTTATGATAATAAAATTAACATCCGTTTCAAAAACAGATATAATTGTTCTTGTCGAAAACAGTTAGAGATAAACCTATTGAACTTTATATGCTTGAAATCGGTAAAAATACAATCCAATGAGTTATAAACATACAGAGTGTTCTATTAAAAAAAAATCGGACATTGGTCAATGTCTCAAAATCGAGGCTAAATAAAGAAAAAAACTGAGAAGTCACTGAATTCTGCTTGAAAAAGTCTGTTTAGAAAGGTATCCGATGCGGTATGTGATTTGCACCAATGAAGATTTCATGAAATTTGAGCTTCATCGTGGAGGGTTAATTTTTTTGTATCCCCCTCAGCAATAGAATTAATCAATTAACTCCAAAATGACCTACGCATTATTAGTTATTTGCTCACTTAAGTATTGCTTTAACTACTAGGTATTGAATAGTGAAAAGGAACTTTTATTGCTAGGCTGTAATTTGGAAGCTATAAGATGCATTTGAGGCTTCTAGATTTGGACCATAGGCATTAGAAGAAAAAAATTATGACATACTTAATTCACATTTCAACAAAATAAGCTGATCCTAGCAACTTATTACTGCCTAGGCACTTGAAATTGTTGTCTTTTTAAGGTAAATGCACCAGTTATTGTCTATTGACAGTGCTCCAGTAATTGACACATAGAGGTAATTTTTTTCAAAATAGGCTAACTCGACGTCCCAGAGCCATTTTCAATTAAAAAAAACACTTCATTCATACAATATTTGGCAACACTCTACCAGCTATGGAAGAAATCAGCCATCGAGTCAGCCAATATCTGCCAGTCATTTAAAAATGTGAAAAGGCTGGTTACCTGTCGGATGAGAAAAATTTAGAGATTTTGTTAAGGCAAACAAATCAAATATTATTTCCTATTCCTAAATGTATCTATGTTTAATTTATTCCATATGTTTGAGTGCAGATTTTAAGTATGATCTAAAGAGGTTTTTTAATGTGTATTTATTAGTAAAACACATTATCTGAGATTGGCGTGGGTGTCAGAGACTGGATTAAGTTTTTTTTTGTCAATAACTGGGGTGCCAATAATAGGATAATAGGTGTCAATTACTGGGTCCCCAAAGATACATTTAAATTCCACAAGAGAGTCTCACTGTGTCAATTATTGGTGCATTTACCTTATAGGCTCTTAAAGAGGTCATTTATTAACAGTTGGAGGAGAATAAGCTCTTGTAGTTGATTAGGTGACTGGTGTCTTTCCTGGTATTTTCGTAATTTTTAATGGTTCCGATAAGAAAGGTCGAGAATAAGGTACCTGATAACACAATTCCTTTCTTTTGGTTCCACTTTTAGAACCAGTAAACCACTGTTAGTTCAAAATAGTTTGAACTCTATTTATACAAGTTTTTGTTAACTTAAAACTAAATTATTGTACCGGGGTCTATATTTTGCACCCACACCTGTCTCACCTGTTTGAAGAGATACCCAGAAATGTCAAATGTGAAAGTTGAAGTCAATATGAAAAAGTTTTCAATGATGTTATTTACAAGTACATAGGATGTGACACAAAAGTTTGGCACAGCAAAGTTATACTTTTTTAAATGGAAAACCCCATATATTATTTTCCCATAGGATTAGGCTTTCAAACCTGATTCCAAGTATACTAGGTTTTTCAGGTTTGTTCCTCATAGTCCAGCCTCTGAATATCCCATTTTGGAGAAAAAATATGGATTTTTTACATGAATGATTACTTTTATATTTTGTTGGTGATCTCTATACTCCACCTTTTTCAATAAAAATGCAATTATTCCACCCCTTCTTGTCCTATTTTCTCTTGGACTATGAGGAATAAACCTAAAAAACCTAGTATATTTGGAATCAGGTTTGAGAGGCTAATCCAATGGGATAATAATACAGGGTTTTCCATTTATAAAAGTATAACTTTGCTTCGCCACACTTTTGTAACACAATCTGTAAACTTGTAAATAACATTATTGAAAACTTTCCGATATAAGGTCTGTTTCTGCAGAAATCACAAACCAGTCAGAGCGCATTTCATTAGTTGAAAACAGAAAACTAGTTTCAGCCAATGAAATTCTCTCTGACTGGTTTGTGATTTCTGCAGAAACAGACCTATAATTACCTACAATTTTCACATTTGACATTTCTGGGTATCTCTTTAAACAGGTGAGATACATACATGGGTTGAAACCTGTTGAAACTAGTTTTCTGACTGTTTTCAACCAATGAAATCCGCTCTGACTGGTTTGTGATTTCTGCAGAAACAGAACTAGGTATTATAGACCTCAGTATAGACAATCACCCAGTACAACCACTTACTGTTTTGAATGTGTTAAAATTAATTAATGATTGACTTCTAAACAGGGCTGATATTACATAAGTTCTTGAATCCTAATAATATGTAGGTAGGTATTGTATATGCAAGGAGGTATCAAGGTAACTGGACAACACATATTATCCATTCACAATCCGATGTTCACAGGTACAGGTAAAATTTATCACCATTCAATGCTATTTGATAGGGAAAGGTGATAAATTTACCTGTACCTGTGGACATCGGATTGTGAATAGGATATAAATATCAGAACACCCAATTAAAGGTTTTTAATAGTAAATAACTCGATGAATAAGTACTAAAAATAATGAATTACCAGTATTAATCATGTTTTAAGCCTGTTACGTTCACGGAATACACTAGAAGATTATCTATAACACGGTACTCACTAACTAAAACTAGGTGAATCTAGATCTTAATTTTTACATTATTCATGCATTGTCTGACCTATAATTGAATATGCATTAACTCACCAGCCATGGTTTTTAAAGAGACAGTATATTTAGCCTAGTTTAGATTTAATGGGGTTTTAAATCACCAGACCCTGGTACGACACACTCGAGGTGACACACAGTCGATGAAAGAATGCAAACTGATTAGGACTTATCATATAATATAATTAAAACTTGAAAACCATTAAATTTTCAAGATAAAAACAAGAAAAACAAGTAGGACCTTTCACTAATTATTTATATATTTATTTCTTTATTTAGCTCTCACTTTTATTAATGTTTATTTTTCTTAATCATAACCTCAAACAAAAATAAATAATCCATCGTCCAAAATCCAGAGCTTTGTTCAAATACAGCGATTCTGTCTGCGTGCAAAACCTAAAATCTATGCGTAGAATCCGAATTTCCTAAACAGAGTGGTTTCGGAACCTTTATGAGATAGTTTTTGAACTATTGGAACAGACCTATAGAAAGAGATGTTTGAAAGTATCCGCCTTTTTTTGGGTAAAGATGAGTATAGTTATTGAAGTAACGAACATAATTTTCTAAATACCTACTCATTGGAAGTCTTCGAAATCTTGTAGGTCTTTCCACTTTTATATACTTGATTCTGAATTATATCTGATGATGAAATATTGGAATCTCTTCAGTAACACCTGATATGATGTTCTTGATGATTCTCCAGTTTGAAGTAGTGATACCCTGTCTAAATTCCATAAATTAACTATCTTTCTTTTTTTCTTGTATTAGTTGAAGATTACCTCTGGGAGCAAGGTCCTTCAAAGAAACCTTATCTACCATCCGAAAATTGTACCAGTGCATAGGTATGGGTACTTGGGACAGTGGCGTAGCCAGGATTTTGTCTTGGGGGGGGGGGGGGGCAAATTTGCAGAAAGTGTTTTTTACGGACTCACCGCGATAGCTGTTGAAGGCAAAGCGCCGCAGGCGCGAAATTTTTGGGTGCCACGCCCTTTTTTTAGGTTTCTTTACGCTATTTTTGGGACTGTTTATTTTAATTTTGAAGAATTATTCATAAAATTTAAGGGTCTTGGGGGGGGGGGGGGAAATGCCCCCTTGCCCCTCCCTGGCTACGCCAGTGACTTGGGATTAGCTTCTTAGCTTCCTCTACTATAGTGATTAATATTTGTTTAAATAAGAAGTGGCTGTGGATCAGCGAGCCAGCTAGGTATAGCTTTCCCAAATTTTGAGATTCTTGGATGATTGAACATCTTCTCATGAGGAGCACAATTAATTGATAGCTGTACAGAGGATAGAGTGAATGGAGTATTAGGATACAATGCTTAATACTGTCAACTAGCTGCTTAGGAAAGGAGGACCCGGTATTCAACCTTATTAATTTAATTGCCGATTCGGTCGGATGTTTATTGCAATTCAGCAATATAACCTGAGCGAGTTTCTCATCATCAACCCCCAAAGCTACAAACCCCCCATGTCACCCCCGTAAAGCGGGCAGTTGTGACAATACTTCTCCCAAATGCTGGATGTTGAGTTCTCGGGATTCTAAAATCAACAATAGTCTTCCAAATTATTCCATTGTAGTAGAACAACAAAAATCTCCAAATCTTCTGATCTACGATAATGTCTACAGTTTATTTTTTCCCAAGATAGATTTTGGCATTGTCAATTTTGAAGTAGTTATAAACAATGCCGCTAATGCCGTTTATTGGCCAATGGCCGCTTTTGTAAAACTGATGTCAACCTGCAGAAACACCTCATTTTGCGACCAATTAGGGTCAAGCGTTATTGTTTATGTTTCAAAGTTTTCAATGTCAAAATCTATCTTGGGAAAAAATAAAGTGTAGGTATCAGTGTTACACCAGAAGCTCAAATCAGAGTTATAGTTTTTGTGCTGTACTACTTTTTTTGACCGCAATGGTATTCTACCGATGAGTATGATCACAGAATTTGAGCCTTGAATGTAATGTGACATTCCAAATATGTAGTGACAAAAGTTGATCAAAACATTAAATAGCAGCTTCACAATTCATGTCAGAACAAACCAAAAGGAAATCTGGTAAAGTCTGTTTTTTTTTAAAGATAAAAGTCAAAATGACATTATGTTGGCAATACAATGTAAAATTGTCAATGTTCTCAAATTTTTTATGTAGAAAAGGCTTGTGTTGCCAACATAGTTACTAAATTTTTGACTTGGGGAATTATCTTTAAAAAAAAACAGATCAATGGCTGAGTTGCTTTGTTAAGTTTCTTCATCCATATTCTTATCAGCAATGTTTGTTTAAATGCTCAGTTTGTCCTACAGATTCACCACTTTCCTGCTTACATATTAAAAGACGATTTATCAGGCAAATATTTTGTTTTTGGGCTTGATATGAATACCGTTGAGAATTTGTATTGCAAGATGTTTTATGGAAGAAATAAAATGTTCAAATGTCCAGTGCCAATGTTCCCATTCTTGATCTGAGTGGGGCTTGTTCGGAAGTGGATCAAATCTTTATGGCTTCAGGAATTTGTCCATTATTCCTTGTTGAATAAATTATAATATAAAAGTTTAGCAACCTGCGGAGGAGGCTTCATTAAACAAAAACTGTATCTACAGAGCTTTTTGACAAATTAGCTAAACAGAACCACAAAAACAGAACTAGCAATATTCTACAGAGAATTATATAACACGGCTATTCGAATTACAATTATTTCTCTAAGCACTTGTTGAGTCATCAATTTGGCTTACAGAACATTAAGTTTTGGTATGCGATTACTTTACTTACTGCAATAAGAGTTTATCCATAAGTTGGTCAATTTTCCTATTTCTAATATTTTTGGTAGTCTCTTCGTGTATTTTTGACACACTATTTTAAATATAAGAACAGATAAACCTGCCATTAGATATAGTTAAAAGCAGGCTCTTCCTACCTATTTCTATTCGCTATGCTACTTTTATGCTGAAAAATTTTATATAATTGTAACGCTGCAAGTCAGAATACATCACTGTTTCATTGAAAACATTTTAAATTGTTTTGTATACATAATAGTTTGATTTGCCAAAGTCAAGATGCGTCACCAGCTGACACTTTTGGAACAAATAGAGGAGTCGCACAGACATGGTATACAGACATCCTGTGATAAAAATAATGCCCACGTTCAAACACAGAAGTTTTAAGATAGATTTACAAAACATTGGTAAAATTCAATTTTGATGGCATACCTTCCTGACCAATCAATCCCAGCACAAATTGGTAAAGGTGACATTACCTTATAATCATGCGAAATAAAAGGGAACAGGCTTCGTGTACAAATATAATATCAGAATGGAGAATTAAATATTTATGCAGTAGGTATATTTACGCCTTCGGCATCTAGCCCAGAATCTTGGCAATTTGATGTAGTTTCTTTAATTTTGGGTTTTTCATTTACACAAATGAAAAACAGTAATTATGTTGTACCAGAATTGCACCTCTGCAAAGGTTTTGTTGAAAAGTTGGAAAAAAATTAAATAAACTATTTAATAATTTACTGTTCAATGAAAATAATTATTAGGTAAGTAGTACAAAATGCAAAACAAAAAACATTTCCAGTTTCCAACAATATGCCAGAGTATAAACTAAAAAAACAATATAAATATATAAGATTCTTAACAAAAATGTAAATACAAAATAATTCGACTAGATGTTTGACTAGAAAACCCACATTTTTCTTCACAAAATATTACAACTTTCAATATTCTCTCCCTCAAATGGAGTAAAATCTGTAATAACCTTATCGGTATTACTACTAAAAGACTCTATACACCCATCAAAACTTTGAGGAAACATTCCATTTGTATCTTTAATCAAGTTGGTACTATTAGGGAGTCCTCCAATATAGAATATTCCATTAGTCGATATAGGCTCTAGCGAATACTGCCTATTTTCTATAAATCAAATACAGTTAAATAATGTCCTAATTTAGTCTGAGCTATTTTACCTGACAAACTTATGATTTTATTATCAATTTTCAAAATCAACGGGCTCAATGTCAGTTCCATATTATGCCAAAGTCCGTCTGAAAATCTAAGATACGGCACAATCTCTATAATTCCCTTGTGTAAAGCGCTAGATGAATAAACGATTTTAATAAAACCTTTTTCTAATCCCAAACCAAAGAAGTCTTTGTCCTAAAAAAAAAAAAATACGAAAATAAATATATATGTCCAACTTATATTGAATAGCCTACCTTTTTGGACCATACTAATAGTCCATTACTTTTGGCAGTGGTAAAGTTCAGGTGCAATTTATTAATTTGCATATCACGAATGTCTCTCTTCTTATCTCCCAGTTTGTGCACTATGATATAGCTTTTTCCCGCAAAAGCTGGCGTTCTAACTTCAATTTCTGTCTCGCAAAGTCCACCCTCGAATCCTATATGGCAGGAGCACGTCGAATTGTGGCATCTACCGTTTTTACAAGATTTTTCCGTACATTGTGGTACAAATTGGCACTTTTCGCCATAATATGGTTCTAAGCAAGAACAGTGCGGATTAAGAATCGAATCTAGCCAACAAGTTCCCCCATTAAGACACGCCTCTCCTCCACAAGGAGTTCCATCACAATCGATAACGTTCCTTGAGTCCAAAATATTTTCTCTCGTAAGAGGAATTTTACGCTCATTTATTGATAAATATCTTAGACAACCTGTATAAGGAATCGGGTGATTGGAATGAGCCGTGATTGGTAGTTCTGACAAATCAGGTAGACCACCCAAATAAACACTATCAGTGGGCAAACTCAACATAAATCCATGATCCAAGAGTCCCATGTTGATGGTATGGTCTACGTAGAGATACACTTTTCTACCGAAGACTCCAAATTGTACTTTGTGCCAAACACCTTTTAGGAGCAGCTTTGAACTTCTTACTGTTACAGGATCTCTGATGTTTGTACGGATTTTACCTTAAAAAAAAAACTCAGATCATTGAAGGGGCTGTGTTTGGGTTAGTAGATCCATTTGGTGTAAAAATGTGTAGCACAAGTTGTCACTTACTGGAATGTACTCTAAGCTCTAACAATCCATTTTGTAAGCTTAAACATACAAAACTAGACTTTTTCTTGCCAAGAAACAATATAATTCCAGTATCTTTCAGCATCCTAATTTCCATTTCTATGTTGAATTTTGAACTGTCGATGTCCATTGAATGAGTAGATAAAAAAGACCGAGTTCCTGTGAAGCTGATGTCCGTAATATTCTCATCTGGAAAAAAAAATCAACCAATGTTTTTGATTGACACAATGAAGCTCACCTTTTTGACAATCTTTTCCAACTTTTCCAAAAGGACAATCACATTCATAATTCGTCAAAAGTGGGACACATCTAGAACCTTCAGCGCATGTTGTAAAATTGGCATCGCAAAAGTTCCTTTTTGAAGAGCACAGGGGGCCGTACCACTTATCCTGACATAAACACCTAGAAATCCAAAGATTTTCAATATTTTCTAACAATTAATCATATATTTTTACATGAAGGTACTGCCGTGGTGTAAACACGCCCCACCATTTTGACAGCTTTTCTCATAACACTCCGTAGTACCACATTGGCCAACTGCTCTACCAACAGCCTTCAAAGAACCTTGAAGGGGAAGTACTATACTACCAATTCTTACTTCCACGTCAAATATGCAACCAGAAAAACCCGTGTGTAGGGGTAGATCGTGAGGAAGAGTTGAAAAATTCCTGGAATCATGACCACCTAAATACAGGAAAGGCATAATGTCCAGTTGGACAGCATTTCCCGGAGATCTTCCAGTAACGTTTCCCATATTATCAACAAAAAGCCAGGCTCTTCTGCTGTCGTAACCCAACTGAACCAAATAATCTCTCGCGCCTCTTTCAATTGGTTGCGATGTAAAGATTCTTCTTGGACCTGAAACAAAAAATTTGTATTAGAATCTGGAAGTTTATCTATAGAATCTTGTTAATCCCTCATGGATTTTTCATTCTGATCACCATCTTTCTGGATTATCAAAGGACAATACCAAACTTCACTTTTGATGTTCAAAAAAAAAATCCAGTGTGATCAGAATAAGTTTCAAACCTGATCCCATGTTCCACGTCAGCATAATATAGCCTTTAACAAAGCTGACAGCCAAATGATCAGAATAAAAATCGTGCTGCCCGTTTTGTCCGATGAAAACCAAGAGAGAAATTTGTTCCATCATGGTTGGAGTGAATCTAAATTTTATTTCCATTTTTTGAGATATTCCGTCTGGTAATGGATAAGCTACGAAAGAGGAGAGGCCTCTTACTGTTGAGGAAAAATATGGCTCTGTTATCTTCAAATCTGAGAAAAAAAGACGATATTGGGTTTATTCATGAAAGCTTAAATGATTTTATTACCATTTTCACAAAAATGGCCATGTTTTCCATATGGACACAAGCAAATATATCCACTATTGGAGAATGGAATACATGTGCCTCCGAAGAGACAAGGATTGTCATCGCAAATGGAAATTTCGCACATTTTACCTAAATATCTGCAAAAAAAAATATTTAATAGGTATTTTGAAAATACAATTTTACATTGCTCTAACCCATTTCTACAATGACAAATCCAGTTTTCTCCATCAGAATTACACGAAGCACCATTTTTGCAAGGACTCGATAGGCAAGCTAAAGAAGAACATTCGGAAATATCGTATCCATCGTCAGCATCTTTGTAAATGTATATATTTTTTTCTGCTATCTAGAAAAAACTAAATAATGTCGTGTCTTTATTGGTGTCGAAGGTTATTACCTTTAAACTGGACATGCACCCAATAAAGCCTCCAGAAGGAAGGTTATCATAGAAAATGCTGTTAGGAATACCTCCCAAGTGTAACCAAGCTAAATGCTTGGAAAACATGTCTATGTTAGCCGTTTGATCTCCGGCCATGGAGAGGCTATCATTCACTTTAATTGAGGCATCGCAGTGCTTGAAGTCTTTGGAAAATTCAAGGCTGAAGATAAAGATTGGAAAGAAATAATTAATCGGATAAAGGTGTATAAGCTTTAACTACAATCAGCATCAAAACTAAGCAGATATGATGTATCAATGATACTCCTTCTACAATTTTGATACTTACTCGGCTCTTATCCTCAACATCAATCCATTGTTAACTGGTACTGTAAGCTCACTCAGCAACATAGTCTGATATCCACACGAAAACTTAAACATCAAAAATCCATTTTCTAGATACAAGGCCATATAACTTTTATCCAAATGAGCGTGGAAGAGAAGCCCTGTAGAAGATAACGTCTTAGCTTCAAATTCTATGGAAATATTTTGATTTTCTGGCAAACGATGAGATAGGTAGCTGTTGCCGTTGAAAGCGGCATTTTTTATGCCTAATTTGGTTTCGCAATAGCTTCCTTCGGTGTCAAAGGGGCATAAGCATTGATGTCTATCTTCAGTGAAAATACATGTGCCGCCATTTCGGCATCTTTTATCTGATAGAGTACAGTCTATACCCAAAGTTGTTTCAGTGGTTGTTGTAAAGCTTTCTAAAGAAGCTGACAAGGTGGTTTCAGTAGTAGTAATTGGTTCTTCAGTGAAAAATATTGTCGTTGTAGGAAGCATTGTAGTTGTCGATGATACTTCCGAAAATGTTCTGTTGGTTTCTTCTGCTTTTTCATTGGTTGTTGTAGCAATAGTTTCTGTTGTAGATTTTTCAGTAGTAGTATCAGAAATAGGCCTCAAAGTAACATTTGGAGGTGCGGTAAAATCAATTATCTCAGTTGTAGTGGTTGAAAATTGTAAAGAAGTGGGTGTGAAAGGTAGTGTTGAAGTTATTGCAGCCTGAGTAGTAGTTTCCCAAGTAACTGGCTGAGTGGAATATATTGTAGATTCTTCATTTGTCGTTGATAATGTTGTAATGCTAGAAGTTTCAGTTGTAGTTGATATTGAAGTGGTAGCCTCAGTAGATGTTTTGGTTGATTCGGTAGCATTATCAGTCCTACTTTCCCTTCCAGAAGTGGTAAATGTTGTTGAAAAATCACTAACTGTAGTTGTTTCGTCGGTTGAAAACAGTTCTGATGTTATTAAAGTTGTAAATGCAGTTTCCTCAGTTGTAGAAGGCTCTGTTACCATGGTTGTTGTGCTATGAGTTGTAATTACAGAAGTAGGAGATTTAGTTGTTGAAGCCTCGGTAATACAATAAGGAACTGTTGTAGATTCAGTTCTTTGAGTTGGCACTTGGGTAGATGTTGATGTTGTTGGTTCAGGAGACGATTTTTCTGAAGCTTAAATAAATTTTCTTGAATAATGATATTTTAATTAGTTTTTGAAAAGGAACTTGTTTGAAACATTTAAACTTGAAAAAATTGTACAAGTTGCCTCTTGATACTTAGATATTGATACTTACTGAAAAATGTTGTTAGAGTACTTTCAGTCTCTGTTACGTTTTGAAAATATTCAGTCGTAGTACTGGGTAATATGTAATTACAATCTAGTTGATTATCAGGCAGCTTAAGGCATTCGCAGAATACTCCTGTTAAAACTGGTGGACAGGAACATGTAAAATTGTCTATACCATCGATGCAGGTACCGCCATTTAGACATCTAAATATATCATATTAAATTGAAGTTTTCATAAAGCATATAAAATATCTTACTTTGGTCCAAGTAAACATTCATCGTACTGCAACTGGCATAATTCTCCGTGAAAGTCTGGAACACAATAGCAATTTGGTAGATTATCTTCTATCAAGCACAAAGCACCATTTTTACAAGGGTTTTTGTCACATATCTTGATAACTTCCTCACAGTTTCTTCCAGTGTATCCAAAAAGGCAGGCGCATTCGTAGCTAGCGTGTAGATCAATGCATACAGCACCGTTTTGGCATGGAGCTGACATACATTCGTCCGTTTCAATGGCGCAAAGGAAACCTTCCCAACCAGGCCGACATCTACACGAAAATGTATCGCCAGGACCTTCTTCACAAACTCCACCATTTTGACATCTAGCTTCTTCGGTTGTATTACAAACCGCTATGTCTATTTCGCAATGAATTCCAGAATATCCAGGAAGGCAGCGGCAATTATAACCATTAGGACCATCAACGCATGTTCCGTTGTTCCAACAGGGATTACTTTCACATTCGTTGAAGTCTTCTTCACAAATGTCACCTAAAAGACGAAATTATCGAATCCTTTGTTTACTAGAAACACATAATTTTTTACCAACGAATCCAGGAGGACAAGTACAATTGAAACTAGCTATCCCGTCAACACAAGCTCCGCCATTCCGACATGGCGACGACCAACAATCGTTCCAGTTCGTTTGGCATTGTAATCCGGTGAATCCGTCGATGCAGTAGCAAAAGTAGGTGGAATTCAAGTCGTCCAAACAAACTCCGTGGATGCAAGGATTGCTTAGGCAAGCGAATCCATTGTGTACTCCCGGAGCGTGCAGAATGAGGAGTACCAGCCCTAAGAGGAGGCTGGTGCTACCTAATTGAGGCATGCTGCATTCTTAAGAGTGGACCTAAAATATTTTTAAATGTAACGAATTAGTATTTCATTATTTTTATTATTTTATATATTTATACAATAAATATTGGTATATATATATATTTAGATGTGGATTTTTAATTTTTATCATTAGGGTATTGTGCCTATTTCGCATAAGTTATTAAAAACTTCATGCCTATATTTACTATATTTCTACTATTTTAATAATATTTAAATATTATTATTTTATGTTTTATAAACAATAATAAATTAAAAATAGGTAGGTAGTACAAAAAAAAGTTAATCAGGGGACACCCGGGTTTGAACCGGGGACCTCTCGATCTGCAGTCGAATGCTCTACCACTGAGCTATATCCCCATCTGTTAGTTATAGTATTTGACTGGACTGTGTACGTCGCCTTAGTAAGGAATTTAAAAAATTATATGCCTTAGGCCGGAGTTACCCAATTCCTTAATTCTTAATATTTGTCCTTAATTCTTAAAAAGTTCAATTTATTTAACATTGGGGTTTTTAACGATTAAGAATTAAGAACCAAAATTAGGAATTAAGGAATTGGATAACCCCGGCAGTTGTGGATGCCAATTTGTTTTATTATCCATTCACAATCCGATGTCCACAGGTACAGGTAAAATTTATCACCTTTCAATGCTATTTGATAGGGAAAGGTGATAAATTCACTTGTACCTGTGGACATCGGATTGTGAATAGGATATACAGTGTGATTTTTTAAGTGTGCAACATATGGGAAATTTTTTTAGTGATAGCACAACCCAAATACAAACAAGGCCAAAAGTTGGTGCATGTCTGATAATCATATTAGGTGCACTTAAAATGGTTGCAAGTCAAACAGCATACAGGGTAGGTCAAACAATATCAAAATTATACTGTGAAGTACCCTAGCTTATTTTGGAAAATTCAGCAAAATGTTATAGAGAAAAGTTGTTTGGAATTAAAAGTTATGCCTAAATACCAAAACATAGCCTCCTAAAAAAAATATTTTTTTTTCGAATTTTTTTTATAATTTAGGTATATATTTTTTTTATTTGTCATTTCCACCCTTAACACTTTTAAAAATTAATCAAAATCAAATCAATTTTACATAACTTTGTTCAAATTCAAGCATATTTGTAAAATTAACTTAGATTTTTAATTTTTTTATGGAATCACAAAATTCATGTTTGTTGCAATGATATTCAACACAACTTTAAAATGTCGCAATTTTTTTTTTAACAAGTTAAAACATCACTAATGATAATAGCTATATTAAAAAACTCTCCTTAAAGTGCAAAAGTTTTATTTTATTTAAGTAAATATTTCTACAATTTTGATATTTTTTGAGCTACCCTGTATGTTGTTTGACTTGCAACCATTCTAAGTGCACCTAATATGATTATCAGACATGCACCAACTTTTGGCCTTGTTTGTATTTTGATTGTGCTATTACTAAAAAAAAATCCCATATGTTGCACACTTAAGTAATGACACTGTATAGGTATAGTCAAGATTTTTTTTATCCCACAATACGACAAGAGGTACAGTCATGAGCACAAAAAGTGGGACACCCGTTTTTTCCTATTGTAAAACGGGCTCATCGGCTATACCTATACCTACGGCAATGACAGGGATTGTCATATTTGACAAAAAATCGGTTGTAGAGAAAAGACTGATTTACCCAAAATAGCGAAAAATTACCAGACCTGTCAGTTGGGTTTCCCACTTTTTGTGCTCATGACTGTACATAGAAATAAGGGTCAAGGGTCAACTTTCTATGCTCGAAAGAAAAATATGCGATCTTTAAATGATAATTTTTTTAATGAATGTGTCCAATCATCTATACAGGGTATACCATTTGAAACGAAACAGGCTAAATATCTGATGTCACTTTTATTTTTGCAAAAATTGCTCGTACGCGTAGGTAATTTGATTGTGTGAGTGTTTGAAACATTTTCAGCACTAATTTAACCCTCTAGGGGGTGGGACCAACCCTTACCCTTACCATTCCAAATGGAACAAGGGGTCGAGTGATACCTGTTTTAAAAGAGCGTTCAATTTTGTTCCAAATAACATCAAATGGAATTGAAATTGAACGCTCTTTTAAAAGAGATATCACTCGACCCCTTGTTCCATTTGAACTAGTAAGGATTGGTGCCACCCCGCCTAGAGGGTTGAAGTTGAAGTGCTAAAACTGGTTGCAGAAAAGTTCCCCCTTTGAAAATCAAATTACGTGTACGAGCGATTTTTTAGAAAATAAACGTGGAATCAAATATTTATAGCCTGTTTCGTTTTAAATGGTATACTCCGTAGGTAAGTACCTACCTACTAGAAAAGAGCCTGACGCCTGTGGACCCGTGTTGAGATATTCTCCAGAGCCGCACTGAAGCACGACCTTTATTCTTAGCATTATGCAAAATGCCATTGGATCAGACCTATTTGGAAACATTTATCCTTTTTCTTACCACTTCTTGTATTCTATTCCTAGGTTATGAGTTGGCAGAGGGGGTGTCATGCCAGTTGGAACGGTGCGTCACTGTAGACTTGTTAATTAATAAACACGTTTTAAAATAACTAATGTTCTTTATTGAGCACGAAAACCATAATCACTGAGAACATAACATGGTGTCAGTAGTGGGATAAGAACCCGGAAACCGCTGTAGGACAGAAAAATTATTATTGAGGTGCCGTATCCTGTGTAAATTTGCTGTTGAGGTGCCGCATCCTGTGTAAATTTGCAGCTGAAAGTTGTAGAGGAGTAAGTTTTAAGAGCACAACGCACAACAGCAGAAGATGGCTTCCGGCGGCATATTTAGGTAACCCTTAATTGGTCGCTCCGGCGTAAAAAGTACGCCAAACGAGTTCAAACACGTGACATATTGAAACTAGCGATTGGCCGAAGGCACATTACTCTGAAGGTAGCAAAATTCGTCCCGATTATGAAAATACATTTTTATTCAAGTGGCGTACAAAGTACGCTAAGCGACCAGCTATGTGAAATAATATCTAGCGACCAGTTAAGGGTTAAACCACCAAATAGCATAGTCTTTGACAGCCATGTGACTCAGAATTTTGAAAATTTCTCAGCAGTTTCAAAATTTATCTAAAAGCATCTGGCTTTGATAAAAAGGATGACGAAACAAAAATTGCTATGTTTCTGAACCTTGCTGGAGATGAGGCCCAAGATGTGTTTGAAACTATGAAGCTGAGTGGAACAGAAATACAAGATTTTGATACCGTTATAAAGGCATTTGAACAGTATTGGAAACCCATGAAAGGTACATGACAGGTACAAGTTCCTCATAAGAGTTCAACAGGAGGACGAGGATTTTGACCATTTTCTAACTGAAATAAAAATGTTGGCAAAAAACTGCAATTTTACTGATCTACATGACTCTCCTATAAGGGATCGAATTGTGAGTGTACGAGTGAGACCTATTAAAATGCTATCAGAAGTGAATCATGCAAGGAAAGACAAGAATTCTTTCAAAAGTATGCAGAACAATTTGAAGGTACGGGTAAGGTTTCTTATAAGTATAAAATTGTATTAGGTACATAAAAATGCTCAGCCTGTCAGCAGTGGTTGTCGAAGTATCCCCAATGCTTTGAAATCGAAATTAAAAGAAACGTTAAGGGATTTAGAAAAGAGGGAAATAATATCTAAAGTTGAAATACCTACGAAGTGGGTAAATAACATTGTGATTGTTGCAAACCATCGGGTGCCCTTTGTATTTGTTTGGATCCTGTGCACTTGAATAAATGGGTTTGTTTGGATCAGTTTCTAATACCAACTGTTGATGAGCTGGCACAAAAGTTAAAAAATAAAAACATAGGTATTTACTGTTTTGGATTTGAAAGAAAGGGTTTTATTATGTTCCTCTTGACACAGTCAAAGCAGAAAGTTGTGTACCTTTATTACACCCTTCGGAAAATATTGTTTTAATAGGTTGCCTTTTGGTTTGAATGTGAGTCCGGCGGTTTTTCAGAGAATAAATCAAAACATTTTTGGAGATCAACCCATAGGCATTTATTTTGATTATTTTATCATAGCAGGAAGTACAGAAGAGGAACATGATAGAATTCTTAGGGAGGTTATGATTAGGGCTGAGAAGTTTGGTGTAATATTCAATAAATCAAAGGTTCAATATAAAGTAAAGGAAGTCAATTATATTGGCCAGGTTTTCTCAGCAGACATTGAGTATGTAAAAGCAGTTTTAATGTTGGATGAATCCAAAAATAAAAAGGAATTTTTAAAAGTACTAGGTAGGTATGTTAACTATTTATTCAAGTGTTTACCAAAACTTGCAGACTTACTATCTCCATTGCGCGTTCTCATAAAAAATAATGTTGAATGGATATGCGGACGAAAGATCACTCCAAAAAATTTAATGAAATAAAAGTAATAATCTCTGATATTCCGGTTCTTAAAATTTTTGATTCTAAATTACCCATTGAAATCCAAACAGATGCTATGCTAGTCAGAGTGGCATTGGTTGTTGCCTTATACAAGAAGGAAAACCAGTGGCATTCTGCTCACATAGTCTAACAGATATAGAGAGCAGGTGGGCACAAATTGATAAGGAATATTTAGCCATTTCATTCAAAGTTATGTACCTTTATAACACGTACCCTTTGGAAAATATTGTTTTAATAGGTTGCCTTTTGGTTTGAATGTGAGTCCGGAGGTTTTTCAGAGGATGAAGCAAAACATATTTGGAGATCTACCCATAGGCATTTATTTTGACTATTTTAAAATATGTTACTGGAAAAATATCGAAGACAAGAAACAAAAAGACTATAAGAAACGGAAGAAGATAAAAAAAAGGGAAAGTCCGTAGACAGAACGAAAAACAACAAGAAAAACAATCCCAAGGGCAGAAAGGAAAACAAGAAGAAGGAAGACCGAATACAGAGATAAAAATAATAAGAGGAAGCCCGGAGACGAGAAGAAAAACAAGAAAAGGAAGACGTAAAACAGGAAATAAAACCAGAAGAAGAAGC